TTATCTTCCTAACTTTATACTAAATGTAATGTGCTGAGCCAGCTTAATTAATTTAGTATGTTTCAACAAGGTATGCGGGGGCATTGATATTATTAACCTTTGCAGGGGTGTGCCACAAGGAACGATATCAAATCAGTAATACAAACATGTATGCTTGCAACAGTTAAGATGTTTAATTACATCGTGTAGATCGAAAGTACTCCTGTGAGGCTCTTAAGAATCTTTTTACAGAGCTAATTCCTTACAGGTGTATGTCACTGGCATCAGCTAACATTCAGCCCAGTTTCACTTTCACTTAGTTGAATGAGTTTTCTTAAGCTTTTTTTTTCTTAGATAATAGGAATTGCGCTTTTATGTGATTTCGGTGCCTGATACCAGAGTCTGAGTAACAGATGAGTAGCGTAGAACAGTGAGTTGCTTTTGGCTTATAAGCGTGTGCGACTCAGTTCTCCTTTTAGAGAGTTTCCGTCTGTGCTAATAAACCCATAATGATACGCACGTTCTCTTCCTGTTTGATTGCAGGATTTTGTGGCCCAATGATATCTTTGGAAGTAGCTCTGACGATGAAGTCCAGACACTACTGAACATTTACTTCCGGCACCAAACCTTGGGTCAGACGGGCACCTATGCACTGGTGGGCTCCAACCAGAGCCTGACGGAAATCTGTACCAAATTAATGGAACTGAATATAGAGATCCGCGACATGATTCGCAGAGCTCAGAGTTACCGGGTCATCAATACTTTTCTTCCAGACTCCAGCATTTCTGGCACAAGTCTCTGACAGGACTCTTGGGTCCTCTTTCAAGCTGGGAGTGCTGCCCTCTTGGAGTGAGGTGGCTCAATGTCTTCTCAGCCTTACAAAGGTTTGGTCAAACTGTACTCACTCTTGTTACATTTAGGATTTCTTCTAAAAAGAGATGGGCTGAACTTCAAATGTGTAGCAATACTGTAAGGACAAAGGTAGCGTAGAGCATCCGGGACAACCTCCTTTGTTCTCTGTTGCACAAAAATCAGTTAGCATTTCACTGAGCAACTGCAACTCACTACTGAAGAAGTGACTTCCATTGCATACCAAAGCCTACTACACTGAACAATACTTCCTTTATAGCAAATTAATTTTAGGTTGGCAAAAGTGCAATGTTTCCTTCACGAAACGATATTTTTTTTGTTTAAAAAAATCCTTGTACATTTTTTCCTTTTTTCTCTTATTTGGTTGAGTGAAAGATGGGCAGAATGAAGCTGGCCACAGATTCTCGCAAACTTGTTGGTCAAAAGCTGAGAGCCTGTGTATATGAAACAAATTGTAAATGGACTACAGTTTAATGTACACTGTAATTTGAATATGATTACTGTATCTTAAAACAACGAGCTGCTATGAAGTACATTTCCTAATGTTACTAGGCTACTGTCTCTGAAGGTACTGGATCATATTGCAGAGGTCTGTTCTTAGGCCCCCCCAAGCATCAGGAATGGTCTTGGTAGATTTTCTTTTTTTTTTTTTTTTTTTAATTAAAGGACCTTGGCTGCTTTTTACTAGAGGGTTGCTTTTATGAATATATTTATACTATTAAAGGATGGTTGATCTAATTTAACTTGCCATTTTTGTAGGAGAAGGTCCCATCACAGAGTCAAATCTTTTGAACTGTTATGCATGCATATTTTTATTTAATATAAATTTTGAGTATAAAAAGTAAAAATATTAACGTGAAATGCAAGTTCTCATGTTAAGTTTCTTTAAAGAGATGTCTTATTTTATTTGTAATGTATATATAAAAGTCATACCTGTATGGGTTTTTTTTCTTACATTTAACTGCTGTCCAGTGTTAAATGTGTGCATGTAAATCTGTTGCACATCTGAGACACTTTTATTCTGACAACTATGTAACTTATTCACTCTGTAAATACCCTTACCGTTTTTGTGAAGTAACTTTGGTTGATATTTGGATCAGTACATCCATTTAACTAATATATAAAAGTCATATATAATCACAACAGAGTACGTGAAGACTGTGTTCTTGTCTCAGTCTATACTGTTGTAGATGGTGTCCGTGATCAGCAGCCCCCAAAAGACACCTTTGTCATTGTTTACGGTGAAACCGTTCATGACACTGAAAGAAACCAGTGAGAAATGTAAGGATTTTTTTTGTCAGTCTGTAGTTACAACTCAACCAGGAAGAGTACGTTGACTAAAGCAGTTTCATCACTGAAGAAAAGATCCAAAATGGAGGTGAAGCTTTGTTTCTGTTAAAAACATCAGTAATGGTGCTATTTGTTCCAGCGTTGGGTTTTGGTGGGTTTTTTTCCTCATAAAAGAAAAGCTGTCCAGCCTGCCCTATCAGCCTCGGCTCTAGGAATCCTGTAAAACCCTCTCCCCTTTTTCATTTTCAAAATGCTTGCACAATTTTACATGGATCTTGAAAAATACTTGTCTTGATGCATAAATGGGGTGGAATTGGCTGCTTTTACAGGTGTGTTTTTGATTTTGCAGTCCACAGAGCTCTGCAGCACAGTTGTAGTTGCAGGACAAGAGAGATGCGAGGCAAATCACATGGCTATTTTTCTGAGTAAAATAATCTGCCATGGTTACAGAAGTCTTCAAATTTCAGTTATGCTTATAATTTTTGAAAGCTCTTCAGAACTGTAATTGGAGTGGTCTGCAAAAATTTTAGTGGTTGGTGAAAGCTGAGATCTGCTCTATCACTTTGGCCAACCAAACCCCAACGGCACTTTCCGATGAGCTGCCCCCCACCAGGCAGTCCCCTGCCTGTGTCACTGCAAAGGGTTCTCCCCATCCAGGGGTAGGAATTTCCTCTTGTCCCTGCTGAATATCACGAGTATAACTCCTGAATATAACTCCTGTTGGCCCACAGTTTGGTGTCACCGAGGTCTCTCCAAATGGCAGCGCTGCCCTCAGCTCTATTGATGGGTCCCCCCCCAGTTTGGTGTCACCTGCAAACTTGAGAAGTGCGCTCCGCTGCCTTTTCCAGGTCCTGGGCGATGATAGATCACCTGTTGTACACCACTTGTTACTGTCCTGCGGGGAGAGTACAAGCCATCAGCCGCTACCTTGAGCAACTTGATTCAATCAGTCCTCCACTGAGTATGAAGACCTCCAGAAGTTCCTTCCGCCCTGAAGTATTCTATGATTCACCACAGATACAACAAAGCCCATGATGTAACCATCTAGCTTTCCTAGCATCATTTCTACAAAACTTCAGGTAGAGTAGAAATCAGTAGAGTCCCAACAAAGCCTCCCTGAAGTCCCAGGACAATGTGAACTGCAGCACTGCCCCACCGTGCCTCCACACCACCAGTACTTTAGTCAGGATTCCCCTGACTGCACTTTCTTTCCATGAAAGCACACGCAGTCACTCCCTTCAGTCGTATTTAAGCCACCTACCCTGGAGATACCTTACACGACTGGAAAGCTTCTGAGGCACAAGCCTGTACTTGAATTGGTGGCACAGTGACTTGTTCTACCATGTTAACTCTAGAGAATTTGTTACACCCCATCACAGATACCCTACTTGAAGAATTTTTCCCCTTCTCACGTGGAAAACAGACAAAGCTTATGCTTTTCTCCTGATATCTTATACATGTAATCTTCCGGCCTACATAGTTCTTGATTGTCAAACTGCTGTGACCTTTTTTTGTAGATTTGACGCTTGCAGACTTTACACTCCACAACATTCGCATCTCCCATACTAGTTCAGTTTGAGTGACTGCAGGAAAAACTTGCTTTCTAGTCTTAATCTTAGCATTCCCTAAAGGCAGACTAAAAACAAAACTTTTTTTTTTTTAGGGAATCAAATAGGTTGTTTCCTTCCACATATACTTTCCTCTTCCAACCCACCAAGATGAAACCAAGGGGTAACAAAATAGTGCAAACTTTTATTGAACTTTATTCACAGCATATATACAATAAAGTTATATACTTTATAAATAATACAAAAATCTTTATCCATTATCCAATGCCAGGTCAAAAGCCTAAAGTCAAAACATTGCAAGAGACTGACAAAGCACAAAACAGGAGGAGGGCACGCTGATCAGACAATGTATTTGAAGCTGTAAGTGTTATCGCAGGACAGCCTCTTGCCTTTGCAGCGGCCACAAAGTTCTTGGCGATGAGGTTTCTTGAGATCAATGTGTCTTTTCTTCTGAGGGCAGGAACAACGAGTCTTTGAACAGGTCTTAAGAAAGAAGACATCTTATTAGCAGTAGATCAAAGGTGCTCACTTCATATTAGACCAGCCTTTAGTTTTCCTTAATCATAGCAAGACATTTGGGCTGACAGACTTAAGAGCTCTGGTGGTAAAATCCCTATGGAGTTAAGCTGAAAGAGCCTTCTCGCCTAGAAGCACAAAACCCTACCCCCTCCATGTAGCTAGGCAGAACGCGGTTGTGAAGAGGAAACCATTCGTGTAAGCCATCCGCAGGAGGATGGAGTCCTATCCCATTACACCTTTCCCAAATACCATTTCCTAGTACTTTGATAAAAGCAAGCTCTCTTCTAGATAAAGTCAATAGCCAATTCAGCAACTGTAACGTGTTAGAGTACACGACAAACTCCAGCAGTCTCACCAGGACACAGAAATCTGTAACTTACCTGGCACTGGATCGCTTCCACTCGATAGGGATTGAAGTCCTTTTGGCATTTGCGACAGAGCTGCTTGAAATACACCTGAAAAGCCCAAGTCCTCAGTTACTATAGAGACTTACTCAGGCTGCTCAGTACAGGTACCTAAATTTGTGCCAAAACATCTGGTTTGTCACAGATTTGGTGCCGTTCTCAGTCTCTGTAACAAAGAACTTGTTCACTACCTTGTTGCTTCCCGAAATGCACCACACGTAAGCACTCTCCCATCTGGTATTGCAGTCTTTACAGTGGAAATAGCCATACTTCTGCTCCAAAAACTGCAGAGAGAAAGTCCACTGAGCAACCTCCGGCACCACAAGAACACCCAGCCCGTCTCCCTCCTTACACCCGATGCTTTCACAGGCGGGAGGCTCCACTGCCCCAAGGCAGACAGAGCTGCCCGCAGCGGGAACC